ATGGACATCTCGCAAGAAGCGTTCGTCATGAATTAACATGGATTAGCTGCTTGGTGTTATGAGTGAGCACTTTGTTCTTGGAAATGACTGTTTTTGGATGAGAAAATGGAGCTCACCCTGCCATGTCGGTCATATTGCTCGATAGCTTCAACTTTCCCTGAGTCGTCTTTCTTTGCTACAGTTTGCACCATTTGCGTTTTAGCAAGATACTGTAAGAGACATTTTGAAAAAAACTGTCTGAATGGAGCTGCTGTAGAAACCAGTGCACTCGAACCGTCAACAAGTCCGTCTCGTGAAGTTGAGCGTTGAACGCTCCGCCGACGATTATCGCATCATCACGTAGACCTTCGGCCTCTAGTCTGAAAATGCTCGAATCAAACATATTCTCGTCAAAATTGCTATCATAGCAAAAATAAAAGTGGATCGAATAGGTTCTGGAACTCTTTTATTTCAAAAAGATGTCATAAAATTAATGAACAAATAGCTATTGTCGCGCCCTCCGGAATGTGCCTCGTATTTGACCTCCACTCAAGTTCGTGGGGTTATTGAATATGACCATGGCTATTTTTTCAGTGTGATAGGATTTTGTTTTGCTGGCGCTATCGTAAGAGGGGGTGGTATGGTAGTGGCAATGCATTGAAAAACCACGTGAAACATTTGCTTTTGTTGAAATCAGGCCTAAGCATTAGGGGAAGGAAAAGAGACTCCAGAATTTGTGAGCAAACTTCTTTTTGATTACCCAAAATTCCTGCTCCTTCCTGGGTTCAGTCCAAGAGGATGCCCCCGTATCTTGATAGAGCACCTTTTGCCGTCATCGCTGGCCCTAGAAAACCTAACGGGAAAATCTAAAGGGGAGCCAAGCCGAACCGGTATCATATCGTTCCTACGTATCTTAAAAAAGCAGTAACCAAGAAAAGGAATTGGCCGATGCGGTTCTTTGTGCTTTTTCTCTAAAAAGATGAATAGGTCATGTCAAGGTTTTTTCTTTCGGATTCTTTGGGGCACCCCCAGGAGGCCAGTCGCGCGGTAAGAAGGCAGAGTCTGCGGACGAGTTGCGCGCGTACTATAGGGATTTCGCGTCAACCTAAACAGAGTGTCCCACTGCACGTCCTACATCGCACACCAC